TCCACGTGTGCTTGGTTCTGCACTGGCTTGAGATGCCTGCTGAAACCTTAAGGAGCCACACAAAGCAGCTGTCTCACATCTCTTTCCCTCACTCCCAGCCTCTTGCCCTGAAAAAAGTAAGGGCTGATTCCAATCTGTTCAATCCTGTCTTCAGATTCCCCAGAATCCAATTTCTTCACCCATTGTGAATTCTTCCTCTCCTAACCCTCAAAGTACTTACACATGCCCTTAGCCTCAGGTCAATATTTAGTAACTTCTTGGTGTTATTCTAACCTGAGTTGGTTTCAATTTACCAATTAGGCAGTAAACTTGAGATCATGAAGGGGGTGCCATGTGTATTTTTAATTCTCCACCATATATATAACATGGTTCCAGATTCCAAAGAGGTGCTTGATAAATAGTCGGTTGCTTAACTCCTTTCACCATCTCTTAAAAAAGTCTGCCAGCATACTGTCTAATTTTCAACAATGCCCTATGAGTTAGGGGCAGCCATACATCTGGTCAGGACAAATATTTCAGTCAGAAACATCTCCTGCACCTGGCAAAACCCTGGCATAAAGATTTCGTGTAAAAGCAGTTTGTGTGGTGCCTGTAACTGAAACCCCATCTTTTCATGTTTGAGGCATGTGCAATCTACCTTTTCCCAACGTTCCAGGGCTCCCTTGTGTGAACAGTTCCTCTTCCCTGGGGTTTCCATTCATTTGTGCACAACAGCTATTTAATTAAGCCTGTCTGGGTTGAACACAGTAGTATCATTTTTTACATTCAGGCCTCAATCAAAAGTTTGTTATTTAGTATCTTTTGATCAACTCTTCTCTTTGCCACTTTTATTCCCTTTCCAAAACCTGCTCCATAATGGTCAATGTTCCACAGCTTCTAGTGTTTATGTGACACTTCTAACAAGGTGTCCTATTTAGACACACCAAATCTAATGTATCCTATCTGTTCTGGGTACAAGAGCAATTTGTACCCAAACAAACCTGCACCCCAACCCTTCAATCCGCCCCACCCTCACTAATGTTACAATTCTCCTTAGCAGTTTTTTCATTTATTTGTTCTTTACACTCATTTATTCATTCACCAAGTATTCATCGAATGCCTACTCTGGGTCAGGCACAGCTCTAAATAGTGAATGAGTGAGTATGATCCCTGTCCTCAGAAAGCTTGTGGTTTTGTGGAGCAGACGAAATTTAAAAATAAAAACACACATCAATATATATGATTGTAACTAAAAGATGTTCTTTGGAGGAAAATAACAGAATGCTATGAGCATGTAGAATGTGGGTGGTACTGGCGGGGGAGGGATGTATAATTTAGATAAGGGCAGTGGTTAAAGATGGACTCTCTAGGGCAGTGACATTTAAACTGAGGCCCAAAATATGAGAAGAGAGTGATCACAGGGATCAACATATGCAAAATGCCCCAAGGTCGGGGGTAGAAAGGGGAGGCTTGGTGCTTGGAGGAACTGATAGAAAAACTGGTCTCTAGAGTGTAGTAGAGGATGGGGGATGTAGCCTAAGGACAGGAACCACACCCTGTGTGACCTCATAGGTCCAGTGTGGGCACTGAATGCTCACATTGACCCATACCCACACCTTGCTCTGCCCCCAATTGCAAAAATAAGCTATCCAAGAATGAGCACAGGTCTTCATCTTTCGTAGTATAAGGTCCTTGAGAACTCTTCTATCATTACACTGGTCAGTGGGAAAAGGTCTAACTTGTCATCACAAAAGAAACATTTATGGAAAAACTTGAAAAGGGCTACATTTGAAATGCTAATTCTAAAGCCTTTTAATGCCAACTCAACCCTCAAAAATAAACTGCTTTTTATTTAATTCTAGACCAATCTTAGTTCCCAGATCCCTCAAAAAGACCTCTGACCCTTAAACAATTAAGAGCAATAATGAGAGTAATAATGATCACTCTCAACTAAACCTCAAAATCCCTTTTTATTGGTTTGACTCTCTTGGGTCACGAGAGAGAGAGAAAAGAAAAAAAAAAGGCCCTTTTAACTTATTTAATACAGCCCTGGGCCTCAGGTAGATAGACCCTTTAGTGTGCTAGGGAGAGAAGGAGAAAATTTTAATCTTCAATTGATACTCAAAGCCCATAGCAAGAAAAGGGCCCGAATCAGCTTTGTAAGTAATGATGTGGCTCATTAATAGGTGATACTAACCACATGTGTCCCCGTTAGCATGAACAAATTATTCTTGCCAAGTTCAGGTATTCCCTGGCAGCTGAAGGAAACATGAGCTGTGCACATGTTAATATATTTCAAATTGCTTCATCAAGGGAGAGGATAATGGGTAGATAATTGTAGATGTGGGGGAATTAGGTACCTCAAGTTCTTTACACTATTCATTCTACTTTTGTATATGTTTGAAAAGTACCATAACGTCTTATCTTAAGTGTCAGTCCTTTTATCATTATTTAGTATCGTCCCACTCCCCCAACCAAATAGTTTTCTGTGCTATGGGACAAAACCTCAGTCATCTGTCATTGGTAGCTGTGCTGGTAACAGATATGAAAATCTATTCTTTGACAGAGTTAAAACTTTTTTTACGTTTTTTAAAAAACATTTTTTTTAACTCAAACTTTCAAGTGTGAGGAAAGAAACTCAGATATCTACCCCGAATTTGTACTATTTCTTTTTTTGTTTTCTTTTTTTTTTTTTTTGAGACGGAGTCTCGCTCTGTCACCCAGGCTGGAGTGCAGTGGCCAATCTCGGCTCACTGCAAGCTCTGCCTCCCGGGTTCATGCCATTCTCCTGCCTCAGCCTCCCGAGTATCTGAAACTACATGTGCCCACCACCACGCCCAGCTAATTTTTTGTATTTTTAGTAGAGATGGAGTTTCACCGTGTTAGCCAGGATGGTCTCGATCTCCTGACCTGGTGATCCACCCGCCTTGGCCTCCCAAAGTGTTGGGATTACAGGCGTGAGCCACTGCGCCCAGCCGAATTTGTACTATTTCATTTCAGTAAACAATTTCAGAATTAGACCTACTGGGACCAGGAAGGGGAGTGCCTAACAGACATTACCATTTTCATTATCACTGGCAATGGTGAAGGCACTTCAAGAAGAACTCAACTCCTGAGAAAGCCTGACTTTGGTAATGTGGAAGGCAAACAGTGGAACTAGCTCACTTTTGGGACAAAGTATGCTCCCCAATTCACCCCCTCAACCCTAAATGCTCCCCAAAAGAAGCCTGGATCAATCGACAGCAAATTAAACCACTGAGCCTGGAAGTAGTGGTTTTGAGAGATCCTCTTGGGAAAACTCTTGGAAATCTCCAATCTAGAATCTTCCTTTAATATTGATTAGACGATTGAAGCATAATCCAAAGGATTTTATCTGTCCAAGGGAGCATCTGTTTCCCAACAGCTTCTTGAACCCACATAAGATGATTCAAGTAGGCACAGGGGAAGGACACAGGGCTTCAGAATCAGCAGCATCCCAGTTTTACAGGATTTCACACTAGAGGAGTGCAGTGGATACTGAGCTGTGGGAACTGGTGCTTCATTTTCCACATCTCCAAAACAATAATGATAGAAGTCACTATGGGGATTAAATGAGACAATGCATAGGAAGTAGCTGGCATAATAGCTCACACGTTGGAAAAACTCAATAAAGACTTTTGGTTTTTGTAAATCATTTGATTACTTAACACATCTTAAAATGCTGACCACATCTTACCATGATCCAGACAGGCCCACTCACCATCCAATCCAAACCTCTTGTCCAAGGGAAAAATGTCTTTCCAAACACAGGACAATAAACTCATTTTATTTTGCTTTTGAAATAAGAAAATATTAGCATAAATATTTCATCTATTAATGAAATTACAATCTGAACAAAGAGCCCAATCATACAGTGTATCTATAAAGTTAGATAATGTCTTCTGATTTTCTACTCAGATAATCCCAAAGTAGAGCTTACAGTAGTAGAAAGAAATATTTAAGATGTAAAATTATCCCGCTATAATTTTGTTCTTGATTCCACAAAATACATCATTCCCATGAATTTCTCAGTTTTGAAATAAACAGTATAGACACATGGAACATTAACACCAAAATTCTGTGTAGAAATGTAAAATAGTAGACCTTAAGATGTACGTTTTTCTTACGAATTTTCTAAAAATGCTGCTTCAAAAGGGAAAGTAAAATGCAAATCTATGCACGTATAAAGTCAAATCTCCCAAATGTTTTTACACAAAATCTTTAAAAGTTCTGATTACTATGCTCATTTTGCATACTTACAATACTTCACAGAAATTATATTGCAGAACCACATAAACAAAATTTTGTTGTGATCACGATGAAAAAATATGTATAAGAATATTTGTAACTATTCATATTTTTAAAAATCTTTAGGCTTGAAATTCAAAAAATGATATTTAGGGCAAAGTGCTATTCCAAACAGATATAACGTCGTTTTAACTTTGACGTTTTACAGATATCTTTCAAATACAAATATATATATATATATATACACACACACACATATATATATATATATATATATATTTTTTTTTTTTTTTTTTGAGATGGAGTCTCTCTCTGTTGCCCAGGCTGGAGTACAGTGGCATGATTTTGGCTCACTGTACCCTCCGCGTCCCAGGTTCAAGTGATTCTCTGGCCTCAGCCTCCCTAGTAGCTGGGACTACAGGCGCCCACCACCATGCCCAAGTAATTTTTTGCATTTTTAGTGGAGACGGGGTTTCACAATGTTAGCCAGGATGGTCTCGATCTCCTGACCTCATGATCCGCCCGCCTTAGCCTCCCAAAGTGCTGGGATTACAGGCATAAGCCACCATGCCCAGCTCCAAATATTTTTAAAATTGCAAATAACAAAGTCAATGAAAAGTAAATTCTTTTCAGTCCAGTGTGGGCTTCAAAACCAAATTATTAAACTATGTAAGGAGATAACAGATAACATTTACATTTCTCTTTGGAAAACAACATGAAATATTACCATTTTCTCCTATCAAATCAAGTCAGTATTTCATTCTGAAAGCAATGTATTAACATGTGATTTTATGAAATAATCAAGGTATAGGCAAACTCTCTTGCTGAGCATACACAGTAACCCAGGATCCTCCTCACTGCTGGTTGGTTTTTTTTTTTTTTTTCCTCAGCACTTGTGAGGCCTTGTAGGGGACAGTGGATTAAATAGCCTTCAGGGTCAAAACAGTTCCTTAACATTTGGATTTTAAACTCCTGATAATTAAAATTGATTGCATAATTTGCCCGTATTTACAGGTGTGACATGATGTGAGATTCAGGATTATAATCCTTTGGATTTAAAATGGTTGGAGACAAGCTGGGGGATCTAGACTTTTTCTTCCCTCCATGCCTTCCCTCTTCAATCTGAAGACTCAGAAATTATCCCAAACCATAGAAAAGTGGAGTATTTGAGAATGAATCAACTTCTAATCCAATGAGTAGATTTCTAATTATTATCCACAAAGAGATGAAGAGCAGTGGACAGTGGAACAAGAATTAACACAAGGAGAAAGGAATCTCACCTTCAGAATATCTCTAGCATAATATTTGTTCAGATAACTGACCCCCTCCTATCCTCTTTTGGGTAATGATAAAACTAAATGTCTGATCTGCAAAGAAAACTCTCACCAGAGACCTGCTGATTCAAGAATTCAGTTCCTGCCCAACTGGAATACTGCCAACATTTTTTCATCCTAACAGGAATGCGTCTGCAGTTTAAATAAGAGCTTTTTCTCTGAAGGTAAAAAATGAGAAGTTTTGGTGTTAACATTTCGGGTAAGATTGAGAGGTTGTCCTTCTGACTAAGTGTGTTCTGCTAAATTTAGAGTAAGTATTATATGTGATGGTAACAAAGGTGAGAGCCTGGAACCCGGTCTTAGGAAAAGAGCTTTCAGTTTCCAGTGGACGATTTCAAATAGATCTTACCAGCCACCCTTTGAGATCTATTCCAACCATGGCATTCCATGATTATTTGGATTCTCATACTGGTGTCTACCCTTGGGCAGAGGCAAGGGCTGGCTGCAAGACTAAGAGAGAAAAAAATAAGAGTTTCTTTCTATATTAATCACCACCTTTTGAAGAATCTCAAGTATTCTTTTAACAACCCCAGGTAAAACCCTAATGAGAAACTCCACCATGAAAAAGGTATGGCATTTTCACTCTTCACCACCACACCCAAGCTGACCTCCTTTCTCTAATCAGAACAAGGTTAGCAAAGCTACACGTTAATGTTTCCATTTTCTTTCTGAGGAGGGAACATGAAGGGGCTGAGACTGGGACAAAGCTGCTGCCCAGTGTCATCTGCTTTGGTTATGCGTTGAAATTATCCCTAATTACAGCTAATTATATCAGCTGTGTCCTTACATTTCTCACAGAGCTATGCCCATTGACCAAAAGATATGAGTTCAGTTATGAGTACAAATCCCAAATGAGAAGCCTCTGGGCTAGTCCAGCTTTCCTTATTATGTGCTATTTTCCCTTATAAATATTAATATGTTAACAAAACAATAATAATAGTTTCCTTGGAAGGCAATACTTCTGCCAAAATAAAAAGTTTCAGAAACACGAAGAATCTGCTGGCCCCACACCTCTCTCAAATCTGAAGATTCTGGGGATCAAGGCCATTGGTCATGTGAGGCTGTAGCCAGGCACTGCTGTAGCCACAGGCTCCCCATGTTTCTGATCTAATTCTCTCTCCACAGAATAAGCCACTGATCCATTGGTCCATAGCTGCAGCTTGGGATCGGATTCTTTGGCAATGAACTGCAGCTGGGTTTTTCTCATTCTCTTTACAAGTCTACCAAAGCCAAGCAACACAGAACTAAATATCATTGAAAATCCACAGAGGAGGAATGCTGCAGTGTAGCTGCCAGTGGTATCTACCAGCCATCCTGTAACAAACAACAGCAAAATGATATTGTTAAGTTGAAAATTCAATTGCTTACCCACTCTCAAATTCTAATACTTTGCAAGGTTAATTATAGATCAACAGCGCCACCAATTGTAATTTTGTGCAGCAACTGAAAAACACATTCTGTGTTCCAGGAAAACTTATAGAGTGAATTGATCGTTGTTATGTGAAGTGCTTGGAAGAGCATCATGTACTTAGTAGTCACAACGTAAATATTAGTTATTATTAACCCCGTGAAATCTGGTAAAAAGATAAAAATAGCATCATTTAAATTATTCAAGTTGGAATAATTCACCTAGGGTGTTAAAAGAACGTATTTGTAAAAAATGCTAGTAGTATTCACAGCACCTACACACTATTTTGAGTAACATGACATGCTTCAAAGCAGTATCACATTTTCAATTGGATTCAGTCATTATACTCTATCCAGTTTGAAAAATCAGGACTTTGGACCATTTTAGAATTCACAAATGCAAACTAGCTTTTTTTTCTTTATCTCTTGTTGCAACAAATTAATCTCAATATCTATCTCAGCTCTACATTTTGAGGAAAACTGGGCATATGATATGCAAAATAGGGGCCACGATGACAGAAAACCAGAGGGGTTACATTATACTTTATCAGGCAATTATTTTATAATTAACCAAGGTTTTTAAAAATTCCTTCAAACTTTCTTATCTGCCAAGAAAACCCATCAGAGAAGTATATGATTTCTTCTTTACCCACTTCAAATCCGTTAGTTGAAAATGGAATGTAGAAGTTGTTATAAGTCCCACAAAGTTTCCTGAATTTAAACTGCTCTCAGATATTTTAGTTATTGTTTGATTTACTTGTGCATTTCTATAGCACCAAACAAAAAAGACCGAGTAGAGGGTTGTTATTTGAAAGGTAAATAAGTAAGAAAATGATACAATAAGAATTAATCCTCGAATTCCCAGTAATGAGTATCGTGTCTGATTTGCCAATGAAGGCCACGAACTGAAAAAAAGATTCATGAATCCCAATTTCATTTGTGTCCTGTGACCTTTGATAGAATGACACTGTTTCTAAAGGTTGGTGAGCACTAAAATAGGCTATGGAGGGAGGACGTGGGAACATTTTGGGGACAGTTTTCAAAAATGGAGCATTAAACATAAAGATCATCATGGAGTTTAAACTGAACAGGATTTTTTCATCTGCACCACTGAAGCGGCCACAATTTCCCCTAGTTTGCTGTGTTTATTCCACCCCAATTGCTGGATTTGGAAATAGCCTGAAACTGTCTATTCACAATAATAGCTAATAGCAGAAACCCTGTCTTCCTCAAAAAAATTCCTGCCTTCTTTCTAGGCAAAGTTTTGGGTTATTTCTCTTTTCCCTGTCTTCAGAGACCTTGTTCACTCTCTCAGTTTTAATTTAGGCAGATAATAATATGGAACAGTAATTCTCAATATTTACCGTGCATGAGCATCACAACAAAGCTGGTTGAAAATATAGATTTCTGGAACTCATCCTCAACATTCAGATCTAGGTGGGAGTGTCAAGGAATCTGCATTTTTAATAAGGTCCCTAGGAGACTCTGATGCAGGTGGTGTAAGACCACATGCTTTAGGAAGGAGAAACAAGTTCCAACCTGTTTACTCCGGTCTCTCCAGCATGATAAACACAATGCTAGTTACACACACAATATATACTTGTTGAATTACTTGTTTAATGCATACAATAAATATTTGTCAAATTATTTGTTTAATCATGCTGTACTCTATAGCATTTTAGAGTTTATAAAACATTCTGAGTGCTTTATATGATGACTCCCAAATCTATATATAAATCAGGCCATCCATTAAAGCTCATATTTCATCTTTAAACAGCTCTATCGAGCATTTCTACCTGTATATTTCAGAAATCTCAACATATCTAAAAACCATATTCATTATTTTTCAGGCAAAGCCACTTTCTCTAATTTCTTTATTTTCTCAACCATGACATTATTTTCTAAGTCATCCTTGACTTATATCTCTCATTCACCTCTGTATGCCAAATTCTGCTGAATTTTGTTTTGAAAACTTCCTCCTTGCTCCCAGAGCTCATCTTTATTTCTGCTGCAGCAGCCCTAGCTAGGCCTTTATCAGCTGCCTCCTAAACCATTAGAATGGAATCTTAGCTACCTCTCTCTTAAGTTACTAGATCAATTGCTAGATCACATTTTCTAACATATACACTTTACCATATTATCCTTTTACATAAAGACTTTAATACTATCCATAGTCTCTGAAGAATAGAGCCCAGTTCCTTTGTCAGGCACCCAAAACACTCCACTATGACACTGGCATTTATAATTTCAGCCTCATCACCCACTGCCCCCTGTTGGAATCCTGTTCTCCCCTGAGACTTCCCTCTGAATGCACCCTACTTATTTATAAAGCTAAACAACTGCTCCATCCCCCTGCTCCCATCATTAATATGGAAAGCAATCAAGACCCTAATTTGGGACTTACTCTTTCCAGGTAAGCTAAGATTCTTACTTGGTTGGAAGAAGATTATAAAACAAGGATGTAGGTGGGACCAAGATAGTTTTGGGGGCTCATATGTTCCTTTTCTCTTTCACTCTTCCCCAACTCTCTTGACAATCCTTCTCATTGACTGCATGTGAGTTTGCTGTTTTCACATCAATATGCCAAAGAGAAAAGGTGGTTGGGGTTTCTCTCTGGAAACTTACCTGCGATGGGTGGGCTCACCAAGTATGGCACTGCGTGAAGGAAGTATACCACACCAAGCGCTGATGACAAAGAGGTGGTCCCCACTATCTCTGTGGTCACTACTGGGATCAAAGTCACGTAGGCACCATCAAAGTAGCCAAAGGTACAAGAGAAAGGCACGAGCAGAGGGAGACTTTGAAGCATTGGAAGGCAGAGATAGCAGAGCCCATCCATTCCCACAGCAAAGAGGTAGCAAACGTACTGGTAATTCTTCAGACACCTGTTGATATGAAGAACAAGAATGAGTGCAGGATGTACTCATTCTGTAAAAGAGCTTTAGAGCCACGGCTATGTAGCAGTAAGCACTGCAGTTATTTACAGAGATGGCTTTCCCATTGTGTGTTATCTATGTTGTCTTCCTATCTTTCCTTTTTGCAAATGCAAGAATTCATCTCCCCAGTAAGCATGGTGTGGTAGAAAGAATATATGCTTCAAAATTAGAAAGGTAGAATATTAAAAGTATTTCTGCCACCCACTGCCTGCCTAACTCAATTTCTTTAGCTATAAAATGGAAAGGTTACTTATCTCACAGGGTTACTCTGAAAGTAGTCGTGAAATAAAATGTAGAGCAGGGGTCTCCAATCTTTTGGCTTCCCTGGGCCACATTGGAAGAAGAATAATTGTCTTGGGCCACACATAAAATAAACTAACACTAATGATAGCTGATGAAAAAAAAGAAAGGCAAGAGGAAAGGAAAGGAAAGGAAGGAAGGAAGGAAGGAAGGAAGGAAGGAAGGAAGGAAGGAAGGAAGAAAGAGAAAGAAAGAAAGAAAGAAAGAAAGAAAGAAAGAGAAAGAAAGAAAGAAAGAAAGAAAGAAAGAAAGAAAGAAAGAAAGAAAGAAAGAAAGAAAGAAAAAGTGTGTGCATAAATCTCAAAATGTTGTAAGAAAGTTTACAAATTTGTATTGGACCACATTCAAAGCCATCCCAGGCCGCAGGCAGCCCATGGGCTGCAGGTTGGACGAGCTTGACGTAAAGGGTCAGGAGGGTAATTTTCCTAGCAGTCTACCTTATTAGATGCTTTTAGATATGTTATCCATTGGTATATAAATATGCAATAACCCAAGTGGTTACACAAAGGGGAAACTGTAATACAAAGACATTAAAATGGTTTGCCAAGGATGATGGAGGTCTTGGACTAGGACAAAGTCTTAGTGGTATTCCCATTAATTTTCCAGATAACTCCAAACCCATCTATGATATGAATTATTTCAAAGAATCTGTATAATGTCAGCTCCAACAGCTTATGCTTTACAAACATTTTTCTACTCACAGCCTCATTTGAACCTCACAAAATAGTAATAAGGTCAACAGGCAAATATTGCACTGGCTCATTTTACAGAGAGAGATCAATGTGGATCTGAGGATTAGGTGACTTTCTGTAGGTTACAGGGTTAATAAGGAGCAGAGCCAGTGCAAGAACTTAGGTCTAGTATGCCTCAGACTAGAGATGCCTCCATTAGACCTACACCTGGCTGCTTCTTGCTGAGTTATTTGATTGTGAAAATAGGTACTCTTTGCTCTTTTCCTTCTTCTTTAACCATTACAAATGTCAAATTAATACTAAATATCATATTCATAACACTGGAGAATGGCAGTTGGATCCTGATTAATTGCCAAAAACATAATTTGTGAGAAGCTACATGATGGTATTCGCTCTGCAAGTCACATCTCAAGTGTGAATGGTTCACCATTTAGGAGAATATAAGTAGCCTGCACTCTTCAGTCCAAACAGATGAGCATTTGCTGAAGAAACTACTTCAGAGATTTCTTATAACTTTGGTTTCTAAGCCTACAATTACAAGGAAATTATTTGCAATTTGCATTGTCAAACATAAATATGTGGCTACAGATAATGTGTTATCATTGCACCTGGCCCTCCTGCCTGAATTGGATTCTGCTCCTTTTTCCATTGCCAGTCAGGAGTGGTTCAAAATAAACTAACACCACCACACCCAGCCAGAAGTTGCCTTGCTTGAGGACTGACTCGTCTTGGGATGGAATTAAATCTACCACCAGAACCTGTAGTTACCCTAGGCTTCTGCAATTTAGACACATCTGGCCCACGACCTCTTTTTGTACTACCTGTGAACTAAGAATGGTTTTTCCGTTTAAAAATGGTTGGAAAAAATCAAAAGAACAATATTTTGTGACACATGAAAATTATAAGAGAAATTCACATTTCAGTGTGCATAAAGTCTTATTGGAACATAGCCACTCTCTTTTGTTTACATATTGTCTGTGGCTGTTTTGTACTATAATAGCAGAGTTGGATAGTTGTGATGAAGAACACTTGGCCTACAAAGCCAAAAATGTTTACTATCTGTCCCTTTACAGAAAATTTTGTCAACCTCTGATCTAGAAGAACCAGCAAGGGAGATGCCTTCAGATACTGCAGACTTATTAACATTATTCAGACCTAGGTATTCTACAGGGTAAGGAGCTGAGGAGAAACTCAAGGCTTAAAGTCCCCTGGTGGGGAACCAATTGTAGTTTCACGAATTTTACCTTCTGTCGGTCAGCCATCCAAATGTAATATTGCCAATAATGTCAATCACTCCAAGTATGGACATAAGAAAAGCAGCTTGCTGATGACTCACTCCAACACTCAAAGCATAAGGCACCAAGTACACAAAGAGAGGGCTGCAGCCATAAGCCATAAACAGAACGGAGATGGCTAACACAACAAAGTCTGACATCAGTAAAAAACTGTACTCTTGCTGCAAACAGCAACAGAGGCAAGTCTGTGCCCATTCTTTGGTCAAAGATGAATAGGGAGACACCCGCTTAAAGTCTTCTTTCTGAGTTCTACAGACATGGTTCTGCTCTGGAGTTGTGTGATCCTCTTTAAGAGTAATTGGCCTCATTAAGGCACCACAAACACAGAGATTCAAGACAAAGCCCCCAAGAATGAGTAAGGCTCCCCGCCAGGAAAACTGTTCAATAAGGAGCTGAACAACAGGAGCCAGGATGAAGGTGCCAATGCCACTTCCTGACATGGCAATACCATAAGCAAGGGCTTTCCGTCTGCTGAAGTACTTGCCAACCATGGCAATAGCTGGAGAGTAACAAAGTGCAAATCCCAGACCTGAGGATAAAGAGAACTCTATGAGTGCTGATGTACCATAAACAGCCAACGATATCTCAGAATACAATGATTTATATTAAAGAGAATCTGACCTCTCATTAAACGCTTTTAAATCTGCTTTTTACACCAAGCTTAAAATGAGTCTCCCCTCACCAGTCATTCACAATTTGGCAAATGTAGAATATACATGACTTTCTTCTTAGGGAGAACACCCTTAAGGAAATGTGACTTCATAAACAAAGTTAAATGAAGAACACAAAAAGCATTATATGAACTATATTGCAATTCACTAGAAAATCTGGATAATGTCAACCAAAGAAACTCATCACCTCCTCCATTTTTTAACTTAAATAATCCAGACAATTGCCTCAACTCTTCACTGCCTATGAAGACACAACACTGATAATCTGTACCACGCTGGAATTTGGATTCAAATAGCATATACAACTATTAAAATTCCAGGGTAATTTTACATAGTTGGGAAACATTATGCCAGTTTTATATGTGAACATAGCAATGTATATTTTCACATATGTGAAAACATCTCTTAAGGTCAGGAGACAAATGTTGACGCTCTAGAGAAGGCTTTCTAGAGACCTTCAACTTTTGGGCTGGGTGCAGTGGCTTATGCCTGTAATCCCAGCGCTGCGGGAGGCCGAGGCAGGCAGACCACTTGAGCTCAGGAGTTTGAGACTAGCCTGGGCAATATGGCAAAACCCCATCTCTGAAAAAAAAAAAAAAAAAATTAGCCAGGTGTGGTGGCATGCGCCTGTAGTCTCAGCTACTCAGGAGGCTGAAGGGGGAGGATGGCTTGAGTGCAGGAGACAGGTTGCAGCTGAGATTGTGCCACTGCACTCCAGCCTGAGGACAGAGTCAGATAGATCCTGTCTCAAAAAAATAAAAAAGGATCAACTTCTATGACTTCTTAAGTAAAGAAAATCTGAGGGGCTTTGAGCCTGGATTTTATGGCAACTAGAATGTCAGAGAAGGAAAAAGAGAATCACCTTCTGAAGCTCCTGCTTTCATCTGCACTGTAGGGTAGCCAGCAACCCAGAGTTGCCTGGACTCAGGGGTTTCTGGATGTGGGACTTTCAGTGTTAAAACCAGGACAGTGCCTGGTAAACTGGGATCCACTGGTCACCATAGCAGCAGTCAGGTTCTTTGGGTTATTAGGGGTGGATGTACCTTCTTTAGCTAACACAGCCAAATTTATAGCCTCACTATGAGGTTACATCCTTTATTGACCTTATTCACGCCACACCAATGGCACAATGCCCAGACAGGAGTTGGCGCTACTCTCCACACCCCTTTGAGTGATGGGCAAACTCCTACTGCAGTCCCACAGCCAACTCATCTTGATCCTATGCCGTCTCTGTAAGTGTGATTTATTGACCGTACATATTGTTTTTTACCCGTGGGATTTATTATAATTTGCTAAAGTTATAGCATTGAGAAAGAATGTGTAATATAAGAATATTCACAATAAAGGGCTTTTTTAAAATTAGAAACTCCCGTTTATTAGACAGCAATATTCATTACAAAGCAGGAGCAACTCAGATTGACTGTCAATAGTATTTTAATGTCTTGGCAATGGTTGGAAGAATGACCATTGCTGAAAATTCACGTGGCCCTGGGTAATATCTTGTTTCTTCTGAGTACAGAATCTCAGCCATACACTAATTCCAAAGAGAAAGCTGCAGTTGCTTTTACCATCTGGCTGAATTAAAGTGGAGATGCATTTTCATTAGGGTAATATAATCTCATTTCCAGCTCTGTTTAACTGCTAGGTAGGTAAACATAAGCTAGGTCAACTAAATTATACATCTAACAAAACGAATATTTTATGAGTTACTTCTCTGTTGATGTGCTTGGAACCCCCTGGATGGAGTGGCATGAGACAGGTGGTACCAAGTGCCCTTACCTGTAAGAACTCCCAGAGTGAGGTAGAGATGCTTCAGACTCGTGGCAAATGAGCTCAGGATGAGTCCAGTAGATGCAAGCAAGCCACCCAGCATGATTCCCACTTGACAGGATAAATGGTTACTGACAACACTCCCAAGTGGAGCTTCAAAAACAATAAGAAATAGGTTCAACAGAAAGACCTTGAGGGCACTGTGAAAAGGCTGTGATGTGGCATTGACAGAGCAGAGAACCTTTAAAGCATTGGGCCCACCCTATTAATTCTGCAGCTTTGCAAACTGAGGCCCAGAGAAAGGAAGTGATTGTCCACGGTCCCACAGACAATAAGCAGCAGGGCTGGAATAGAACTCAAGTCTCCTGACCTGCATTTCAAGGCTCATTCCTCTTCATTCTATTATAGTCATACTGGCAGGACTGTAAGGTGCTTTTTAAACAGTGGATCAACTTTCTCTAAATTACATGTCACTTGCACAGGGATGCTTACTATAGTGTTGATCATATATCATTAGCAATAATGGTGACAATTAATTGGTGAAGAAAGAAAGTGGATAACACCATGTGACCAGCAGTGTTATGCAGTAAAAGACCAGGGAGAGAGATCATAGACAAGTTTCACAATCTGGCCCTGTTTTCAGGCTTCAGCAGGCCCTGTAGTTGAGATATCAAAGCCCAGAAAATCTAAGCAAAATGCTTCATGCACATGGTGACATTCTGGTTGGTCTCACTCGATTTGTGGCTTACTAGCCAGTGTATCAGAATTATGTTGACCTCAAGGCTCATAGAACATTAAGTAAAGCCAGAAGAGGCCAAAAAGGAACTGAAGTTCAGGGGTATATGGCATGGCCCAAGGTCACCAACAAGAGCACCTAACACTGATTGTGAGGTTATTTCTGCCCCTTACTCTTTGGGTCTCTCTGACTAATGGCAGGAGTGATGGGTGAGGAAGGCATGTGAGTTTCCTTCTAAGGAAAAATGCATGCTGACATCAGTAACTCTTAGTAGCAAGATCAGAAGAGCTGATTTTCTAGGTGTTTGAAGAGTATGATCATTTTCGTATCGATCAGACTGAAACTGGGGGCCAACTCAACTGGTAGCTTCTCTGTTCATCACAGAGCAGATCCGTTCCCAATGGGTGTCCCACATGTGATTCTGCAGACTCTCATCCATACTCTGAACTTTAATGTTCTAATATTATGTTACAAGGTGAGGAGGTAGGTATATGGTAATTGCTTACAACAGGCCTCTTGATCTTGCATAGAATTTAAATATGTTGCTTCTGACATAACCCTACTCAAAGCTTCACACAGTCATTGGGACCATATTGGTCACCTAAGGTCATTTCTCCCTATTTGGGAGATTATGAATATCCTCCAAAAGATAGAAATGAGGGAAATGAGTCACCTTTATCCTCTGAGAAGACAAGCATGGCTTCTTTGGTGTGCTGATGCAAATGCTGTGACTAATAATGAGACCCTGAAAATCAAGTGGTTTAAAAAAAAAAGACAGGCTCTAAAACTCAAATATATGATTTTTTGATCCCTTAAGACCTTCTTATTAGTTGAAAGAGTAGAGTTGATTTAGCCTTCTCATGAAATCTGCTTTTAGTCTTAGAACTGCTCTCAGCTTCCCCCCAACTAAACAAATATTATACATTTCAGTTACAATTTAACTGATTCCTGAGTATGTGTATTTTTTTCCAAAAAGAAATATGAGTCAGTACCTAGAATGGAATAAAATGGTACTATGAGTTACTGAATACAGGTATTATTTCCCTTTTGCCACTAAGACATGGCTTGAAGAGATGAACATTTCCTAAAATACTCAGAACTCATTTAAATGAATGGATTAAGTGGGTCTAAGCTAAAAACAATTTGATTTAATCTTAGAAACTCTCTAAGACATCAGTTTAATAATGTGAGTGTGAAATTTATTTTAAACAAATGCCAAGTCTGTTGTCCTCTACTACACAGATGGAATGTTAATTCCATACGTTTCTAGAACACCCTATATACCTTATATAACACGTTTGGAGTTTCTTGAATGAAATTACACCCATAATGAATATGTTTATCTCATGATGACATAATCCTATCCTTCCCCAATACTTCTGTAAGCATGAAGATTTATACATGATAAAGATGAAATCCATGAGCCAAATGTCAAGTCCTTGGGAAAGGAACAGAATGCAATCCAAGACTTGAGATGTGATACAACACTGTTGGCACTCATTACTGTATAGAAATGGCTCATGGTACTATCGATAACCATTTACATAACTGGAGAATGAGAAGGCCATAGCATTTGGAAGAGAGAAGCCAAGCATATACTGTAAATTGCTTCCAAAATCAGTACACGTTCTAGAATGTTCAGCATCCTATCACTATATGGAAGAACCAAATCTTATGGGTTCTTTTGAGTGTATTATCTAACGGTTCTACCTGACATCAGCGAAGACCATTAATTACAAGAGCAAGTCTGGTTGGTTTTGGCTGAAGGTAGGATTGATCTTTTCTTTATATTATATAGTCCTGGCCAGTTTTTAATGTAGCCCTTCTGCTTGGAAAAACTGGTAATCAAAGTCAGTGGAACGTCATTGTCATATGCAGTTCAACAGTGGCCAGTAATTCCCTATCCTAGCAAGTGATACTCACCACAGAGCATGGTTACACAATCTACAATGGAATGGATCCATGCCGTTTGTGCGTAATCCTGAGTGAAGTATGTCTGGAACTCCACAAAAAAAATTGAGATACATCTGAAAAATACAATGCAGGCATTTTATACAAAAAGTGAATGAGCATGCATTTGAGCCAGAACTTAAAATGCCTGGTTCAATTAGCTGGTCCTGTCTCCAAGGGTTTTAATTGCTAGACTATAATAAGTGGGAAATCAGAAGTTGACCATTTGGGCCATGCTGGAGAACAAGAAGAACAAGTGTTCAACCACCACATGGGCTATACTAAAGCCAAGTAGATGTGAAGACCACTGCTCTAAAGAAGGTTTTATGGAAACAAAAGCAGGTCAAGAACATGGATTCTTATTTGTTTTTGTATTTTGCTAACTTCTTCTAAGAGGTTATTATACAAATTAAGATTTGACAATAAAGAATTATATATCACCAGCATTGTCATTTCTAGGATTTATATAAAGGAAATAATCAGGTGATATTGATGATTGATTCATAGATAGATAGATAGATAGATAGATAGATAGATAGATAAAAGGATATATTCTGGAGAACTAGTTTAGTCTATAAAATTATATATATGCATATAAAATGATAAATTCTGAGGGATAGAATAATAATAGATATATAAGAGGATATATTCTGGAGAATAGCCAAATATCATAACTAATGTGACTGTTCATCAATAAAGGACTGGTTAAATAAATTATGGCATATCAATAAAATAAAATAGTACATCTTAAAAATCATGATGTTGATCTGTATGTATTGATTTGGAAATAAATTTGCAATATAGTGTTAAGTAAAAAATAAGTTAGTTACCAAACAGTCCATACAGTAAGAACTTATTTTGTAAAAACAGTCTATGTAAATAGAAAATTTCCTGGATGGCCGAATAGGAACAGCTCTGGTCTGCAGCTCCCAGTGTGATTGATGCAGAAGATGGGTGATTTCTGCATTTCCAATTGAGATACCTGGTTCATCTCACTGGGACTGGTTGGAGAGTGGGTGCAGCCCATGGAGGGTGAGCTGAACAGGGTGGGGCATTGCTTCACCTGGGAAGCACAAGGGGTCAGGGGATTTCCCTTTCCTAGGCAAGGGAAGCCGTGACAGATTGCACTGGGAAAACTGGGACACTGCCACCTAAATACTACACTTTTCCAATGGTCTTAGCAAACAGCACACCAGGAGATTATATCCCATGCCAAACTCAGAAGGTCCCACGCCCATGAGGCCTTGCTCCCTGCTAGTGCAGCAGTCCAAGATCAGACTGTGAGACTGCAGCCTGGCTGAGGGAGGGGCGCCTGCCATTGCTGAGGCTTGAGTAGGTAAACAAAGCGGCTGAAAGCTCGAACTGGGTGGAGCCCACTGCAGCTCAATGAGGCCTGCTTGCCTCTATAGACTCCACTTCTGGAGGCAGGGCATAGCTGAACAAAAGGGAGCAGAAATTTCTGCAGACTTAAACATCCCTGTCTTACAGCTCTGAAGAGAGCAGTGGTTCTCCCAGCACAGTGTTTGAGCTCTGAGAATGGACAGACTGTTTCCTTAAGTGGGTCTCTGACCCCCATGTAGCCTAACTGGGAGACACCTCCCAGTATGGGCCGACTGATGCCTCATACAGCCGGATGCCCCTCTCAGACGAAGCTTCCAGAGGAAGGATCAGGCAGCAATATTTGCTGTTCTGCAATATTTGCTGTTTTGCAGCCTCTGCTGGTGATACCCAGGCAAAGAGGGTCTGGAGTGGACCTCCAGCAAACTCCGACAGACCTGCAGCTGAGGAACCTGACTATTAGAAGGAAAACTAACAAACTGAAAGGAATAGCATCAACATAAACAAAAAGGACATCCACACCAAAACCCCATCTGTAGGTCACCATCATCAAAGACCAAAGGTAGATAAAACCGCAAAGATGGGCAGAAACCAGAGAAGAAAAGCTGAAAATTTGAAAAACCAGAGCACTTCTTCTCCTCCAAAGGATCACAGCTTCTCATCAGCAATGGAACAAAGCTGGATGGAGAATGACTTTGACGAGTTGACAGAAGTAGGCTTCAGTAATAACGAACTTCTCCAAGCTAAAGGAGGATGTTCAAACCCATTGCAAGGAAGCTAAAAACCTTGAAAAAAGATGAGACGAATGGCTAACTAGAATAAATAGCATAGAGAAGACCTTAAATGACCTGATGGAGCTGAAAACCATGGCATGAAAACTATGTGACGTATGCACAAGCATCAGTAGCTGATTTGATCAAGTGGAAGAAAGGGTATCAGCAATTGAAGATCAAATTAATGAAATGAAATGAGAAGAGAAGTTTAGAGAAAAAAGAGTAAAAAGAAACGAACAAAGGCTCCAAGAAATATGGGACTATGTGAAAAGACCAAGTCTATGTTTGATTGGTGGCCCTCAAAGTGATGGGGAGAATGGAACCAAGCTGGAAAACACTCTTCAGGATATTATCCAGGAGAACTTCCCCAAGCTAGCAAGGCAGGCCAATATTCATATTCAGGAAATATAGAGAACACCACAAAGATACTCCTCAAGAAGAGCAACCCCAAGACACCTAATTGTCAGATTCACCAAGGTTAAAATGAAAAAAAAATGCTAAGGGCAGCCAGAGAGAAAGGTCGGGTTATCCACAAAGGGAAGCCTATCAGACTAACACGGATCTCTTGGCAGAAACCCTGCAAGTCAGAAGAGATTGGGGGCCAATATTCAACGTTCTTAAAGAAAAGAATTTTCAACCCAGAATTTCATATCTAGCCAAACTAAGCTTCATAAATGAAGAAGAAATAAAATCTTTCACAGACAAGCAAAAGGTGAGAGATTTTGTCACCACCATGCCTGCCCTACAAGAGCTCCTGAAGGAAGCACTAAACATGGAAAGGAACAATCAGTACCAGCCACTGCAAAAACATGCCAAATTGTAAAGACCATCGATGCTAGGAAGGAACTGCATCAACTAATGGGCAAACTAACCAGCTAACATCATAATGACAGGATCAAATTCACATATAACAATATTAACCTTAAATGTAAATAGGATAAATGTCCCAATTAAAAGACACAGACTGGCCCACTGAATAAAGACTCAAGAGTCATCAGTGTGTTGTATTCAGGAGACCCATCTCACATGCAGAGACACATGCAGGCTCACAATAAAGGGATGGAGAAGATCTACCAAGCAAATGGAAAGAAAAAAAAAAGGAAGGGGTTTCAATCCTAGTCTCTGATAAAACAGACTTTAAAGCAACAAAGATCAAAAGACACAAAGAAGGCCAATACATAATGGTAAAGGGATCAATTCAACAAGAAGAGCTAACTATCCTAAATATATATGCACTCAATACAGGAGCACCCAGATACATAAAGCAAGTCCTTAGAAACCTACAAAGAAACTTAGACTCCCACACAATAATAATGGGAGACTTTAACACCCCACTGTCAATATGAGACAGATCAACAAGACATAAGGTTAATAAGGATATCCAGGACTTGAACTCAGCTCTGCATCAAGCAGACCTAATAGACATCTACAGAGCTCTCCACCCCAAATCAACAGAATATATATTCTTCTCAGCACCACATTGCACTTATTCCAAAATTGGCCACATAGTTGGAAGTAAACCACTCCTCAGCAAATGTAAAAGAACAGAAATCACAATAAACTGTCTCTCAGACCACAGTGTAATCAAATTAGCACTCAAGATTAAGAAATTCACTCAAAACCGCATAACTACATGGAAACTGAACAACCTGCTCCTGAATGACTACTGGATAAATAACAAAATGAAGGCAGAAATAAAGATGTTATTTGAAACCAATGAGAACAAAGACACAACACACCAGAATCTCTGGGACACATTTAAAGCAGTGTGTAGAGGGAAATTTATGGCACTAAATGCCCACAAGAGAAAGCAGGAGAGATCAAAATTGACACCCTAACATCACAATTGAAAGAACTAGAGAAGCAAGAGCAAACAAATTCAAAAGCTAGCAGAAGGCAAGAAATAACTAAAATAGAGCAGAACTGAAGGAGACAGAGAAAAGAAAATCTCCTCAAAAAAATCAATGAATCCAGGAGCTGGTTTTTTGAAAAGATCAACAAATAGATAGACCACTAGCAAGACTAATAAAGAAGAAAAGAGAGAAGAAACAAATAGACATGATAAAAAATGACAAAGGGGAAATCACCACAGACCCCACAGAAATACAAACTACTATCATAGAATACAAACTACCATCAGAGAATACTATAAACACCTCTACGCAAATAAACTAGAAAATCTAGAAGAAATGGATAAATTCATGGACACATATTCCCAAGACTAAATCAGGAAGAAGTTGGATCCCTGACTAGACCGATAACAGGCTCTGAAATTGAGGCAATAATTAATAGCCTACCAACCAAAAAAAGTCCAGGACCAGACGAATTCACAGCCGAATTCTATCAGAGGTACAAAGAGGAGCTGGTACCATTCCTACTGAAACTATTCCAATCAATAGAAAAAGAGGGAATCCTCCCTAACTCATTTGATGAGGTGAGCATCATTCTGATACCAAAGCCTGGCAGAAACACAACAACAAAAAAAGGGAATTTTAGACCAATATCCCTGATGAACATCGATGCAAAAATCCTCAATAAAATACTGGTAAACCGAATCCAGCAGCACATCAAAAAACTTATCCACCAAGAACAAGTTGGCTTCATCCCTGGGATGCAAGACTGGTTCAACATACACAAATCAATAAATGTAATCCATCATATAAACAGAACCAAAGACAAAAACCACATGATTATCACAACAGATGGAGAAAAGGCCTTCAACAAAATTCAACATTCCCTTCATGCTAAAAACTCGCAATAAACTAAGTATTGATGGAACATATCTCAAAATAATAAGAGCTATTTATGACAAACCCACAGCCAATATCATTCTGAATGGGCAAAAACTGGAAGCATTCCCTTTGAAAACTGCCACAAGACAGGGATGCCCTCACTCACCACTCCTATTCAACATAGTGTTGGAAGTTCTGGCCAGGGCAATCAGGGAAGTGAAAGAAATAAAGGGT